AAGAAGAAGAATAGAATTAGCCTTCTTTATTATCATTTTGATTAATTTTTAATTGACAAAACTGTATATATTTATGGTGTACAGTGTTCTGTTTTGGTATGTGCATACATTGTGGAATAATTAAATCAATCTAATTGAAATATCCATCACTTTACCCACTTATTGAAATTAACTATCATCACATGCTGTGCAACAGACCTCCAGACCTTATTCCTCCTGTGCACTTAAAACTTTGCTCCCTTTAAACAACATCCCCCCAACCCCACCTTGCCTTTGCCCCCCTCCACCCATGGTAATCACCATTCTACTCTCTGCTCCTATGAGTTGGACTGTTTTACAGATTCCCTGTATAAATGAGATCACACAGTATTTTCTTTTGTGTGTTTAGCTTATTTCATTTAGCATACTGTCCTCCAGGCTCATCCATATTGTTGCAAATGACAGTATTTCTTCCTAAAAAGCTTTTAAAAAAAAGCTTTGTGTTTTTTTTTTTTAAGTTTTGTATTTTGGACATTCAGCAAGCAAAGGAGAATCAATGAAAATTTTCAAAGAGAGCAGAATCACACTTTACAAGAGTGATTTTTGTTTTTTATATAAAGTAGAACCCATTAGTGTTTTTATCCAGGGAGATTACATTTCTATCTTGTTATCCATACCATCAGCCCACCAATTTAAGTGAGTGCCGCTTAACAAGGTATTTCCTATTACCTATAGTTTGTAAAAGAAGAGAATATAGGTCACACATAGCTTCATTGGTAATTTTATTGGTAATAACTTCCTGGAAATTTAACAAGTTAGGTATGAATTTAATACTCTTTCCCAGGATAAGGTGACCAGTTAGGTCAAAATCTTACAGGCACGATTATTTCTTGTAAAACAGATTTCTTCCTCCTATTTAAAAAAAATAAATCCCTGGCACAGACAAATGGCAGCACAGGCCCTGTGTTGGTTATTATTCAGAGAGACATGCTAACGTCCGTTTGTGGCTTCCTGTCAAATCCGAGACTCTAAACTCAGACGCCGAACTATTTTAAAGATGTGTGTGATCTATATTTGACTTATAAACACCCTTTAGTCTCAATGTTAGTGTACCTCAAATATGGGGAATTCTCTTATGTATGGTTCTGGAGAACTTTTAAAATCAAGTTCCAGACACGAGAAAAAGTAGGGAAAGAAATTCCCATAGCCTGTGTAAATGTAAATGTAGTTGTTCCGTGGGTTTCCACAAGTTCATTACACTGTTAAGAACAGCTGCAATATATCCTTTGCAAGAATAACAAAGTTTTACAAGGAATCAATCTGAATGTCTGAGTACAAAAAGGTATATTTTGAAATATGGTTTTACAAAGGAGCTAAGACCCGAGCCAAGGGCAGATCTGGAAATAGAGTGCTGTGAATAGAAGGCTTATCTGAACCTGATGACATGGACAAATGAGGTTGGATTAATGTGACTGCTGTAAACAAAAGGAGCGTCTACCTGATGCCACTGACATCTTGGGAGCACAAAACACTTCTCAAGAATTTCTGTCCTGGGAATAAATTTAATGTGCTGGTGAGAAACTCCTCTCATATTTAATTTTCCATTTTACCTGAATGCCTCTAATCCAGGACTGAGCCTGTTTCAAATTATCGTCATTGACTTCAGCGAGTTTTTCCCGCCAAGCAACTGCTTGACTGTCAAACTTCACAAAATTGAATTTAGTTTTATATTTTAGTTGTTCCTGCAAGAGACAATGATTATTTAATCATAAAACCACTCAAACATAAGAAAAGCCTAGGACAGCTCACAGTTGGATACCTTCTAATTTATTATTTATTTTCAGGTCAAGAGGTGAAAAATTATATTCCATAGGAAAAATCTTTTCCAGGGCAAAATGCATTTAAATAAAATTTATACAATTTGTATGTTGCAACCCTTATAAGTGTATATATGTATGAATGAATATATAGTATACATCACATACATGTATAAGTTTATATATAATGTGTATTGAATTTAATACTAGTATTAATGGCATACCAAATAAGCACTCTGAATGCAATATGTTTAAAGAAAAGAAATCCAAAACATTATCACTTCCATCATTATCTTTTGGGTAAGGCTATTATTCACTTGTAGATTTAGTCACTTGTTTTCCATAAGCCCTTATTTCTCTAGGAGGTTTGTCAAATTAAAAATGGTATTTCACATTTCTCAAACACTCTCCATGATTATTTCTGTAGTTAATACTTACATCAATTCTACAAACTCATGGCAGTACCTGATACTCTTTTGGAAACTAGGAGTTAGGAAACTTAAGCCACCTGCTTCTGGTCATATAATTTAGAGGTAGCACAGGTAGAATAAGAACTGGGAGCTCTTAAACATGTGCCTACACCCCTCCCATGGGCCAGTGCACACAGTATCTATAATCAATGTTTGAAATTAAAATGAAAAGGCCCAGAGGAATAGTATCTGGAAAACAATAGAAGTTTTCAGAATAAAAGCTGAAACAATGAACATAGAAACTCCCAGAAGCAACCCAAGCTTGACAGAAAAACCCTACCAGAGAGAAGGTCTGCTTGGAAAGGAGAAATGACGATTCTTTAAGTGGCAAAAGAGAGGTTTTCTAAAAAAAATTTTTTTTAGATTACTAAGGGGGATGATTAGGTTACATTAGGTTGTTTGTGTTTGTCTGGTAAAGTCCAAGTTGTAGTTGTGCCCCTCATCCAGGAAGGGTGCCATAAACCCTGACATTGGGCTTGTTAGGTAACAACACACCAATCCTCTTCCCTCCTCTCCTCTCCTCTCTTCTTTTTCCCTCCCCTCTCCCCACTTGATTTTAATTGTTTCAAAAGAGAGCTTTTTCTGAATTGGCTTTCTTATGGACTTTTTAGTGCAAAACTCCCTTGTTCACTGCTCATAAACAATGTAGATGATAATTGGTGGAGATGCGTTTATGATACACAGGACCCCAAATGCGTGACTTTGACCCATCCATTAACCTGTATGAACTGAATGATCTTGTCCTTCACCAAGTCCAGTTTGCTCTTCATTGAGTGAGATGTATCAATGAGGATGTAGATGCAATCACGATGTACTTTTCCAAAGAGGATTTGACTACTGTCCTGCAGCCATTGAATCCTAGGCAGGAAATAGGTTAAAAGCAAATGGTTAGAGCCTGCAGGCAACAAGCACATCTTCCTAAATTCCTAAGAACTGGCATCTACAGAGGCCAGAGCTGTGCTATTGTGTTTCCCCCAAAATAAGACCTAACCCCCAAAATAAGCCCTAGCAGGATTTCTATGCATTTGTTAAATATAAGCCCTACCCCCATAATAAGATCTAGTGATGAGCATGGCTATGTAGCATATCTACATAAGCATGCCATGCATTTCGGTGCAGAGCGGTAAGGAAGACTGGAATACCTTTTAAATGACACAGCTCCTTTCTCCGAGCCATTCGCACTTGCACGACAGCACGTGTGGTAACCGTGGTTGCAGGCATCCTATTGCACATGTGCAAACGGCTAGGAGAAAGGAGTTCATACATCACTAGCACCAGCCCCACCAACAACGTCAGCTCCACCATCAGGTTCCAGAAGAAGATGACTTAACTGTATTTGAATACATATAGATTGTTGTATTATACTTAATAAAAATGAGACATCCCCTGAAAATAAGCCCTAGTGTGTCTTCTTGAGAAAAAATAAATATAAGACAGTGTCTTATTTTCGGGGAAACACAGTATGTGAGTGGATTTGTCACTTTGAGTTTCTGGGCTGGCTTTCTTATCACCCCCCTCCACTGCCCATGATCAATCCAAGTAAAACAAAACTCAGAAAATCAATGGGACATAAAAATAAATCTGTTGTGAGTACCAAAGTCAAATATAAATTCCTTCTAGTTATCTGATATTTTGAAGACCCCAGCTATGACTTTAGACCATTTGTTCTTCTAATCCTGCTGGCTACAGTTAAGCTAGTGAAGCCAGCACATTCCTGAAGCTTCAGTGAAGCTTATGGACAGTATCAAGCTACCCTAGAGTCCTGTAATAACAAAGACAGTTGTGTGAGAACAGCTTCTATGGCCTGTGCTTGGGTTCCCACCACAGGATGTACATGAAGTTCAGGGCAGCAGGCAAAGCCTGTTGGGTGGACATGAGGGAAGATCATGGAAAAAATATTTGAAATTGAGTTCAAAGTTCAGTAAGGCCTGAGCAACTAAAATTTGTAGGGCAAAATACTGAAAAGGAGGAGAGAGTGAGAGACAGAGAGAGTGAGATATCATGCTTCAAAGATCTTTAGAAGGATACCCTTGAGATTTGAGCTAAATAATGATCAAGATACACATATGAAGAAACTACTGAAGCCAACAACCCCTCAGAGTTTACACAAGGCTGGAAGTAGTTTATTTTTCGCCAGCTAGAGTAGGAAAATTTTAATATACTAGACATCAAGTAGAGTCCTCAAAAGAGTATTTCCTTAGTAGTAGGACCAAATTAACTCTGGACTGAAGGCTGAACCAATTCTAATATTTCAAATCAAGTCCTAGAGAGTTTATTATTATTATTATTATTTAGAGACAGAGTCTCACTTTGTTGCCCTCAGTAGGGTGCTGTGGGGGTCATAGCTGACAGCAAACTCTAGCTCTTGGGCTTAGGTGAGTCTCTTGCCTCAGCCTCCCAAGTAGCTGGGACTACAAGTGCCCACCACAATGCCTGGCTATTTTTTGTTGCAGTTTGGCTGGGGCCAGGTTCGACCCTGCTGCCCTCGGTATATGGGGCCAGCATCCTACCCACTGAGCTACAGATGCTGCCCGAAATCCTAGAGAGTTTAAACTGATGCCAAGTAACTTAATTGCATTATCAAACACATATTTTTTAAAAATACAATGAAATCCAGTACCCAACAATGTAAAATTGAAAATGTCTGCCACACAGTAAAAATACTAAGCATGCAAATAAGGAGGAAAATATGATCTATAACCAGAAGAAAAAGTGGTTAAGAGAAACTGACCCCCAAATGACACAGATAACAGAACTAGCAGAAAAAGATGTTTCATGGCTATAATAAATGTAATCCATATGTTCAAGAAGGCAAGGTATGAGCAGAATGAAGAGAGAAATGGAATGTATACGAAAAGATCCAAATGGGACTTCTAGAGAAGTACACTATCTGAAAGAAAAAATACACTCCATGGTATTGGACAGTAAATTGGACATTAGGAGAAGAAGAGATCTGGGAACTAAAGACAACACAATAGGAAACAATTCAAAATGAAACACACAGAGAGAAAAACAAAGACAAAAACATATAACAGAGAATAAGTGGCCCATGGACAATATCAAGGAGTCTAACATATTAATCAAAATCTAAGAAGGAAAGGGAAGTGGGAGGCAAAAACATTTTAAAAATACAGCCAAAATGTTTCTAATTTTGATTCAAACAATATATCCAAGGAGCCAAGAAGCTCAAAGAACTTGAAGAGAAGCAAAATGAAGAAAACCACACCAAGACATGTCATAATAAAAATGACAAAACCCAGAGATAAAGAGGAAAATCTTAAAAGCAGCCAGAGATATTACATGTAGAGGAACAAACAAAAAAATGACTGGAGGCTTCTAATCATAAATTATGCTAGCCAAAAGACAATGGAGAAAGATTTTTAAAGCACTGAAAGATAAAACTGTAAAACTAGAATCTCTGCTAAATATTTAGCAAAAATATCTTTCCAAAATAAAGGTAAATTAAGGAGTTTTTCAGATGAAAACAGCTGAGATCACCAACAAGCCTGAACTACCAGAAATATTAACGGAATTTCCTCAGGTAGAAAAAAAATGATACCAAATAGAAAATTGAATCCATATAAGGAAGTGAAGAGCAACAGACATATCAAGTATATAGATAAATATAAAATATATTTATTCTAATTTTTAATCTAGTTATGAAACAACTGACTGCTTATAAAGTATTGTGGAATGTACAGCATGTGTAGAAGTACAGTGTAGGACAACAAGAGAAAGGTCAGAAGGGAGAATGGAGGTTGTGAGACTCATACATGAAGTGATATAATATTATTTGAAGGTATACTGTGATAAGTTAAAGATTCATATTGTAAATATTAAATAGTCACACATACATCAAAATGAAACTAACCAAAGAGATTAATAATAGTAGAGATAAAAAGGAATCACAAAAAATACTCAAGTAAAAGAAGACCCAAAAAAAGAATAAAAAGGGAACAAAGAACAGGTAGGGTAAGTAGGAAAACACATAGCAAGATCTTAGATTTAAATCTAACCAAATTAATAATCACATTAAATATAAATGATCTTAACCCTTCAATTAAAAGGCAAAGATTATCAGGTTGGATTAAGAAAACAATACTCATGTATTTTGTCTCTAAGAAATCCATTTAAACATAGGGCACAGACAGGTAAAGGTAAAAAGATAGAAAAAATATAAACCATGCAGACAACAATCAAAAGTTAACCTGGGCTCAGCGTCTGTGACTCAAGTGGCTAGGGTGCCAGCCACATACACCTAAGGTGGCGGGTTCAAATTCAGCCCCGGCCTGCCAAACAATAATGATGGCTGCAACCAAAAATAGCCGGGCATTGTGGTGGGTGCCTGTGGTCCCAGCTACTTGGGAGGCTGAGGCAGGAGACTCGCTTAAGAACCAGGAGTCGGAGGTTGCTGTGAGCTGTGATGCCACAGCACTCTACTCAGGGGAATAGCTTGAGGCTCTGTCTCAAAAAAAAAAAAAGAACATTTTCCAGCTCCATCCATATAAACATGAAGAAGGTAAAGGGCTGCATAATATTCTATGGTGTACATATACCACAATTTATTGATCCATTCGGGGTCGATGGGCACTTGGGTTTCTTCCATGACATAGCAATTATGAATTG